TCGCACATGAAAAATATTGAAAGCTGCCAGCTGCCCTCGGCCATGTCTTTGGCGGTGATCCAAGCTTCGGTACCACAGTGGATAAAGTTAGTAATACATTTATACTGATCAAATGTCAATACATTACATAAGTCTTATTCTCATTCATACTTAATTTATTTCTTCTTCTGTCAGTATGAACACAAAAAACTAACCGGTATTACATTTCATTCTAAAGTTTACGGTCTAAAAAGGTATTTAAAACAGATAATTTGTCGTTGCTTTTGGCATAAGCAGTCAGAGGAAACATAACGTTCTCAGTAAGATTCCTTGAAGAACTAGAGCACAAGAACCAAAGTAAGCTTTACTTTCAATGAACCTTCAATATAGACCTAACATGTGAAGAAACATACTTTATTTAAAATAAACATTTATAACTAGTTTAGGTTGTTTGAGAGGTAATTGAAATAGCTAAGGGTGATGATCTGCGAACACAAACCGACAGACTGCTGGAGAAGAGATATCACAGGGGGGGGGTTGGGACACACACATTCCGATGGCCAATTCGTTTTAAACAAAGAGTAGGCTATACTCAACATAGTGGGGTGGGGGCTGGTGAACGGTATGGTCAATGTTTGTAAACACTGTGACATTTTGACTTTATTTGATCATTTCAGTTAAAAACTAACGTTCATATTTCATATTACTGTTTTGCCTGGCTGGACCTGTAATTTACAGGAAAGGAGTGCACGCTACTAAAGAGACACGCTACCATGGAAACCAAACAATGGTGTTGCTGTATTGAAGTCCGAGTGGAAACAGTCATATTTGGAGCGTTATGTTAGAATGAAACAGCCAGTTAGTGTTACTTCACTAACTGTAAGCTTGTCACTCAGAGTAACCTACAGTTAACTTAACTGTTGGGAAAGAAAGATCAGGGGGGGGAGAGAGCTGTGATGGGCCATTAGGTGTGGAAACACACAGCTGAGAGCTGCCGTTTCATTCTGACTGTTTAAAAAACGGTAACAACGGACTATTTTTCTTGGCGGATGCATGTCGATTTAAATCAATACATACAACTATTTTTTAAATCAATAAAAACATTTTCTAAATCCATAAAAGCATTTCAATTAATATTGGGAGTCATGTCGTTACTTTGTTGAGAATGTGGCCATGTAATAAGCGGGATAATTTGCAGCGACTTGGTCATTATGGGGAAAAATAACACCCAGGGATCAAGATTCCTCCGCGACGCGACGCGGAGGGATCAGTAATTTTTAGTGAATTACTGAGTTTAGGCACGTTAATAACATTTTAATGAAGTTGAATACAGTATATTCATATTTGTCAGTGATTTCATGTCAATTTGGCGAACATAAACGATTAAATTAGGATTAAAAATCGAGAGCCGGCTGCTGTTCGTTTTTTTCGACTAAACAACATTATTTTGTTAAATAACAACATGGTGATGTTTTGTAAATGATTACATGTCTTATTTAGCACAGACTATGATCCTATCCGTGACATATGGATCTTAACAAAGATCCGCTATACATTAGTACCAGACATACTGTACAAGACTCCACACATGACTCCAGTGTGGAACCCCACTGCACCCCCTGGTGGATCAATGATCCATTGCAGCTGGCTTCACAATAATTACATTTATTTATCACGGGGGCGGTATCAAGTCAGACTGGGGGCCGGCCGGCCATCACGGAACGTGCACGAACCGATCACGACCCTCGCATTTTAAACTGTCCAAAATAAGACGCTCCATCTGTAGAAGGCAACCACAGACTTACAAAAAAAAACACACTTTATAAAGTCAGGCAACACTAACCAGGCTTCGTGTGATTCTGTTTATTTGTACCTTACTTTGATCATCCGTTCGCTGTTATTGATCATTGTGGAGAGCAGGCAGACGTTTGGTTTGTTATTATAGCAGCTATCGGATGGAATTAATACATGGGCTGCACAGGTTGTCATGTCCGATTATCACAAGTAGAATCATAATGAAAAATACGCCGGTAAAATGTGCCTGTAGAACACGGCTTAGCAAGTAGTCAAGTTTAGCTTCGGTTGCTATGCTAACATCACCCATGTTATACCAGAGAAACTTTCATAACAGCGTTGTGATGCCAAACAGCGTCAATTCAGACTGACACACATTCACTTAAGGGGAACTGGGGATATGTATCAGCTTGTGTGACAGTCAGACAGTGAATACTTTAGAGCCGTGTGAGCTAACCCGGAGCTAACGGGAGAATAAACTCCCGTGGAAGAGCAGGCAGCACTGCAGCGGTCGGTAAATGCCGCTGAAACACATTAATAAACAATGAACCACGGCACTCTGGAGAAAAGTATAAGGTTGGAGAAGTCGTTATTTAATTTAATCTAGCTTCGTATGATTAAAAGCAACACGATCATCGACCCGACGCAGTCCCCTGTTGATGCTGTTGTTGTTGTTGTTGTGAGCTCCGTTGGGGAGAAAATCAGCGATGTAAACGGTGACGTCATGACGCAGCAGCGGCAGCTCTGGGCGGTGTGAACAGAGCGGGAGCAGAAAAGGGAAACCGGCTGAACCAGAAAAGCTCTAGCTAGGAGCTAGAAAGGGAAAAGCGCTGGTGTGAAAGCCACATTAGTGCCAAGTAGCTAAGCTATTCATTCGCAGAAATGTAAAGTGATCTAACTATTTCTATTCATATTCTTGACGGGAAGAGCGGTGTAAATGGGGGGCCTATATGCATTTGAAAAGCAATATAAATCACACAGTTAGTATACAATAGGCTTTAAAAGCACCATCGATAACCATTGCCCTTCTCCAATTCAAACCAAGGTATCTTGGGTCAGTCTTGTCTTCCAAAATGTTTGTGACAAGATGTGAAGTCAACAGGTATTCATCGTTTTTTTCGACTAAACAACATTATTTTGTTAAATAACAACATGGTGATGTTTTGTAAATGATTACATGTCTTATTTAGCACAGGCTATGATCCTATCCGTGACATATGGATCTTAACAAAGATCCGCTATACAGTAGTAACAGACATACTGTATATCCAGCTTACTGTATCGAAGTTGATTTCACATGAGCTCCAGTGTGGAACCCCACTGCACCCCCTGGTGGATCAATGATCCATTGCAGCTGGCTTCACAATAATTAAATGTATTTATCACGGGGGCGGTCTCAAGTCAGACTGGGGGCAGGCTCTTCATCACTGGCCTTTCACGGGCCACGACCCTCGCGTTTCAAACTGTCCTAAATAAGCTGCTACATCTGTATGTGTTGTTACACGTTTTAATAAGTTTATGATATTTAAAGCAGTTATTGTGAGATTTAAACTTTAACCTGTTAAGCAACAAGCCTGTTTTTCATGTTTCAGGCTCGAAAATGACATGCCCAAAACAAATGACTACAACTTAACTTCTAAAAGGGTTATATGAATAATTTATTTTTATCAAAGCAAGGTTCCATCTGTGAGTTGGATATAGAAGTGTCAGAATCAATATAAATGTTTTTTATTTTAAAGAAAATTCAGATTTTACATAGTAAAAAACTGTAAATTATAGTGTCCGTCCAAAAATTATTTTTTACAGATAGTGAAAACTACCCTTGGATGATGGGTTAGTAGACTAAAAGCTTTAGGAATCCAAAGTACAACATATAATAAGTACCCTGTATCAAGGTTGATGCAAAACAAGTGACATTTGACATTTTTGGAGAGGTTTAGCCAAAACCACCCCACCTCTGAGGTGATTTGGGTGAAAATGGTATTTTTTTCATATCTCTGGCCCCCTTGCTCGATTTTGATGGTTGGCACCTCTTTCTGACCGTTAGAGCCAATAGAATTGAAGGGGGAGGCCTACACACACACTCATTGTGAAGAGAAAAGGTGGGGGCTGTGCGCATGTAAATGTAGGGCAGAGTGGAGCTGCATTCTAGCTCTGGAATTTGGAAACAAAAAAGCAGTTTTATTGCTTATGGATTATCAGAAATAATTTCAAAGAGGGCACAGATACATTGGATGAACCTATGGATTAACTGCAGCATCGTTTTTTTATTGTTTTAATGCCATTGAAGACCAGTTTTGACCAAGGTAAGCCATGTTAGCGTTTCTAGCTACTTAGCTCCACATGTTATGATGTACGCTTTTGTTTATAGCGTCGCAAATGTTTCACTGAGTGTTGAGGTTTTTTCACAGATTCAGTGTCTCCAGGACACCAAAAACGAGTGGTTGGCTGTGCATCTAGGATAAGTAATAAGGGAGTTATTTTGAGTTTAAGTGCCGTTTTAGGTTACATTTTTTCGCTCGTGGTTAATTCAGAGGCTGAGTGTTAGCATTGTGGGGTTTTTTTGGAGAAAAAAAATTAAAAAGATCAGTTAGCTGAGTTTCTTCCCGTTACATGGATATAAAACATTCATAGTTTTATTAAATGTTAAGATTCCTTAGACGTTGTTTCCTGCAAAATGACGCGTTTATCCGCCCGGTACCGAGGGGGCCGTGCGTAACAGGTTAACAAACAGATACAGTAGGTGGAAGATGAACCTTTTTTCTCTCTGTCATCTCCTTCTTCAGCTCCTTCTTCAGCTCCTCCTTCATCTCCTCTTCCCTCCTCTTCATCTCCTTCTCCATCTCCTCTTCCCTCCTCTTCCTCTCCTCTGTGAGTCTCTGGAGATCAGTGTGTAGTCTCTTCACCTGAGAGGAGACACAGACAGAAGAAGAGAGACCTCCAGATGAACTCTTTATAGCTGGACTTTCAGATGATCAGACTCAAAGGTGTGTCTGTGTTAGTGAGTCAGCAGAGTGAAGAAAGAGCAGTGAAACCAGGTTTAGATGCATGTTGTTACTTTATCTGAGAAAGGAGGGGAAAGGATTTGATCTGGGACTCGAGTAGCTTCACTGGATATCATACGCTGTCTTTGAATGACTTTGATTGGAGATATGAAACACAAACCTCTCTGGACTCATTCTGCAGCTTCTCCTTCAGGATGCAAACTTCTTCCTCAGCTTCCTCCCTCCTCTTCTTCCTCTTCTCCTCCTGAGACTTGTTTCTGGATAATATCTTCAGTTTAAACTAAAAGACGAGACAGGAGAGATGAAATATCACATTTGACCAAATGCCTCTCAATAAGTTCATATTCACACGTTTCCTCCCAGCTCTTCTGCAGCCAGAGATTATAAAGGAAAGCTTTATTTAGGTCAGGAAAACCAGAAGAGAGTATTGATCGTATTGATCTGAACCCACTTACCCGTGAAGAGGAGGAAGAACTGGCTTCAGCAGCCTCGGCTTCTTTCCAGCTGGAGAAGTGGAGAGATGAAGACAGACTTGTTCATGTGGTTTTTACATTTCATTATCTCAACAACTAAAACTCTAATTTCACATCATGAGTTCCACTGGAAGCTCTGTGGAGAAGTGTCTCTATGATTGGCTCCATGTGTTTGTACAGACTCCTGCATTGGACATGACATCACAGAGGAGAAGACTGTAAACATGGAGGTAACCAAACCTGGATCTATGGTTATAAACTCGTAAATCTGCTTTACATTTTTTTTTAATCAAGTGCACACATTTGTGAAACTTCAATGATAGAAACAGAGACGTTTTGAAACCATAAACACATTCAGCAACAGGATTTCTGATTGAACTCTCAAGTGACCCAGGATGCTCAACACATTTACAAGTTGATGGCTCCTTTGAAACTAGAATCAGAATATAGATCTTCATATATACAGCAAAGGTTCATGCAGGAAGTCTAACCTCCATGATGCTGGTCTCCATCCTCTGAACCTCCTCCTGCAGCTGCTGGACTTCAGCTTCCTTCACTTCACACTGAGAGGAGAGAGAGAGACATGTTTTATCATAAACCTTTGTTCGTATGTATATCAGGACTAAAGTGACTCATCAGCATCATCTGTTAGAAATTAAACTCATGTCTAGTCACTGCAGGACTTCACCCTGATTTATGATGAAAAGAGTTAGTCATGGAGTCATGCAAGGTTTTATACTAGGAGCTTTTCTATTGAACATATTAATGCTTACTTCAGGTAAAAATAAAAATAAAACACTCCAGAAGTTTCATTTGTATCTACAATTACATATTGTTCGAGCCAGATGATATCAATCAATGACCTAAACTTCCAGCATGCCTTAACCTGTTAAGCACCAAGCCTGTTTTTCATGTTTCAGGCTCGAAAATGACATGCCCAAAACAAATGACTACAAATTCACTTCTAAAAGGGTTATATGAATAATTTCTTTTATCAAAGCAAGGTTACATCTGTGAGTTGGATGTAGAAGTGTCAGAATCAATATAGATGTTTTTCATTTTAAAGAAAATTCAGATTTGACATAGTAAAAAACTGTAAATTATAGTGTCCGTCCAAAGATTATTTTTTACAGATAGTGAAAACTACACTTGGATGATGGGTTAGTAGACTAAAAGCTTTAGGAATCCAAAGTACAACATATAATAAGTACCCTGTATCAAGATTGATGCAAAACAAGTGACATTTGACATTTTTAGAGAGGTTTAGCCAAAACCACCCCACCTCTGAGGTGATTTGGGTGAAAATGGTTTTTTTTCCCATATTTCTGGCCCCCCTTGGTCGATTGTGATGGTTGACACCTCTTTCTGACCGTTAGAGCCAATAGAATCGAAGGGGGAGTCCCCCACAAACACACGTTGTGAAGAGAAAAGGTGGGGGCTGCGCGCATGTAAATTTGCAGCAGAGTGGACCTATATCTAGCTCTGGCATTTGTAAACGAAAAAGCAGTTTTATTGCTTATGGATTATCAGAAATAATTTCAAAGAGGACACAGACACATAGGATGAACCTATGGATTAACTGCAGCATCGTTTTTTTATCGTTGTAATGCCATTGAAGACCAGTTTTGACCAAGGTAAGCCATGTTAGCGTTTCTAGCTACCTAGCTCCACACGTTATGATGTACGCTTTCATTTATAGCGTCGCAAATGTTTATCACTGAGTGTTGAGGTGGGCACCCCCAGATTCTGTGTCTCCAGCTGATGCAAAACGAGGGGTTGGCTGTGCATCTAGGATAAGTAATAAGGGAGTTAGAGTGAGTTTAGGTGCAGAGATAGGTTACATTTTTTCGCTCGTGGATAATTCAGAGGCTGAGTGTTAGCATTGTGGGGTTTTTTTGGAAAAAAAAATTAAAAAGATCAGTTAGCTGAGTTTCTTCCCGTTACATGGATATAAAACATTCATAGTTTATTAAATATTAAGATTCCTTAGACGTTGTTTCCTGCAAATGACGCGTTTATCCGCCCGGAACAGGGGGGGCCGTGCGTAACAGGTTAAGGACATAAACTCTTGGATGACCATCAACTTTTTGATGTTAGACATGAAAAGGTATCATACTCTGCCCCAAACAACTCTAGAATCTAAATACATCGTTTACCGTTATAATCATGCACCAATCCATATAAACTGTATAAACTCTACATACAGAGAAGATCAACTGAAATCTATATTTTTAGTAACATATTCAAACAGTAACCTCTGTGATGTTGGTGTCTGTTTCCTTCTGTCTGCTCTCCAGCTTCTTCTCCAGTGTCTCCACTTCCTGTTCAGCTTCAGCCTTCTTCTTCTTCTGTTCTTTTTTCCATTTCTGTATTGTTTGGAGAAAAGTGACTCAACATACTGTTCAATCTTTAAAGTGTTGCACAGTTTTATGTGTTAAAGAATCCAGTCTGAACATCTCTTTACAATCTATTAGTGATGCACATTGATATTAAGATAATTGACTTCCTGTTGTGTCCACATTGTTATTTTTGGTTATCTTCTGTAATAATAATAATAATAATAATTCATTACATTGCTCGTAATGTCTTTCACTTCTGTAAAGCACTTTGAATTGCCTTGTGTTGAAATGTGCTATGTAAATAAACTTGCCTTGCCTTGCCTTACATTTATTTAGCACTTTTCCAAATGTTCAAAGCGCTTACATTACATATGACATTTATCAGACATGTAATACATCAATACTGTGGACAATTCCCACAGGAGTGATTTAGGGTGAAGTGCCTTGCCCAAGGACACAACGGCATGTTGACTGCAGTGGGGGTCAGGGCGGGATTGAACCGGCTCCCCAGCTCCCCTGATCTGAGGATCCACAGCCGTAATGCACTAACATCATGTCCACTTACCGGATCCACTTTGGAAATGCTGATTAGGGTCCTCTGAACTGTCCCCAGCTGGTAGAGGGAAATACATGTAGAGACACATGAGTACTACATCACAGCATGTGATCATTATAGATTCTCATACAGTTAGGTGGATCTATTATGCTCAATGTTACTGAATGGAAGAACATGTATTGAAGTAAACATGGTGTTCTACAATTCATTTTGTAAGCCTAACACCTAAGTGTGGCATGCTGTGTCACTGCTCCTGCTGACTTGTTTTGGGTTTCCCTCAAATGCTTTTCTGTTTTACAATAAATGCAGAATATTTAAGATGAAGACGTGAACCTCTCTGTACTTGTTCCACAGATCTCCCTTCAGGCTCTGCAGCTGGTTCTGGTTCCTCTGTTTCTCTGCATGGAGATCCTGCAGCTCAGACTCTTTAGATTCAACCTGAAAGAACAGCAGGAAGATTAAGATCATTTATTCACAGTCTAAAAGTAGGACTGTCTGGATGTGGTCTCCACTTGGACCTGCACTGCAGGTTTGACCTTGTCTACACTAAGGACGACATTGAAAGTGACTTCAAACAGGAATCAATGTGTTTCATTATTGAAGTGGAGATGAACCTCTTTCTTCTTGTTCTGCAGCTGCTCTTTCAGAGTCTGGACTTCCTTCTCAGCTTCCTCTCTCCTCCTCTGCTCCTCTTTCAGAGTCTGGACTTCCTTCTCAGCTTCCTCTCTCCTCCTCTCCTCCTCTTTCAGAGTCTGGACTTCCTTCTCAGCTTCCTCTCTCCTCCTCTGCTCCTCTTTCAGAGTCTGGACTTCCTTCTCAGCTTCCTCTCTCCTCCTCTGCTCCTCTTTCAGAGTCTGGACTTCCTTCTCAGCTTCCTCTCTCCTCCTCTGCTCCTCAAGCAGCTGCTCCTCAGATTGATTTTTCTATGAGAGGAACAGTCACGTTTCTTTGGTGATTATTTCTTGTTATCACATGTTTTCATGCATTTCTGGCAGATCCTGTATCTTGATGTGAAAGTCTTCTGTGCTTCTTGCTAAGACTCTACTTTTCATGTTGTTGTACTTTACTTACCTTTTTGCTCTTCTTTCCTACGTTTCCCTTCAAAGCCTCCATATGCACAGCGTCAGGTTTCATCAGCTGTCCTCTTTCTTCTTCATTGAGAAACCGATCATCATCCGAACTCTTCCTCTTTGTCTCTGTGTGAAATGAAACGTGTGTTAAGATGTGTTAAAAGAGAATTAGAGGAACTTTAGGAAGGGATCGAAGCACATGAAACTTTTCAGTCTAAATGTAGCTGAACAGTTGGGTGATTGGTCAACGGCTTAGAGATGTCCCGCCCCTAGTGCTACTAGCCAATAGAAGTGCAAGTGTTACATAGTGATGTCACCATGCTCAAAACAAAGGAGTCCAATGGAGGTGTTTCAGGCAGGGGGGGGGGGGGTTGTGGGAGATATTGTAGCCTTTGCAGACCATTAACATGCACACAAACCTACAGAACATACAGCTCTCAGCATAAAGGCCCCTTTAATTAACCAAACTGAGTCAAATCACCCGACTGCAAGTGACTTACTGAATATGTGTTCTCTCCACAAAAAGAAGAAAGAAACTGCCAACATTAACAGAATGCTAACAGCCAAACTGACGGCCAGACCGATAATGATGGAAGAAGAACTGGACTGGAGCTTAAAGAAATCATCTGAAATGATAAAACACACAACATCACGGCATTTATGTAAAAATAGACCTCAGATATTTGAAACTAAAATATATTAAATTACTATTCTGATGTCTTACCTGAAATGCTGAAGTGCGTCTGTGTGGTGCGGGTGGTGTTGTGGTGCTGGACTCTGCAGGTGAAGCTGCTGCTGGGTCTCTTCTCCACAGTCACTCTGCTGCTGACAGTATAGAGGTCATCAGGACCTCTGACTGTCTCTGGAGGTCCAGCAGAGAGGAGCTTTCCCTCAGCGTCCAGCCACAACACGTCAGGCTCCGGATACCAGCCTGCAGACTCACACTGCAGCACCACTCCTCCACTCTGACCGTCCAGCCCTGATAAACTGATGAGAGGCGGAGAGGAAGGACTGGATGCTGAAAACAAAAGGAAGAAGAGGAAGTATTTGATATCTGATAGCAGGTGAGGAGATGGCCCAGAAACAGACATTATTGTTACAATCCTTGAGCAATTTACAGCCTCAATTTCTATCCAGATCCTCATGTAAGAGTCGAATGGGCTCGTCACTGCGAGCTGGACCGAGTCACTCTTCACCTGAAACAGTCCTGTAGCTGGCTTCAAAATGGTGGAACAACTTCCACATATCAAAATCAAGAGCGCAGAAAGTCTACACACTTTTGGCTAACACCTAACTACAATCTGATAGTCTGAACTGAAAAAAACAATCTGAAAATCACAGACTTCCTTTGTGACAGGAAGCAGCACGTGGGGCTGGGGAAACACGTCTCTGACCCCCGGACGATCAGCATGGGTTCCCCTCAAGGCTGCATTCTTTCCCCTCTGCTCTTCTCCCTGTACACCAACAGCTCCACCTCCAGTCACCAGTCTGTCAAGCTCCTTGAGATGGTTGTGGACTTAGGAAGAACGCAGCCCCACGCACCCCCATCACTCTGTGTGACTCCCCAGTAACTGCTGTGGAGTCTTTCCGCTTCCTGGGCACTATCATCGCCCAGGACCTCAAATGGGAGCAGAACATCGGCTCCCTCATAAAAAAAGCACAGCAGAGGGTGTTCTTCCTGAAGCAGCTGAAGAAATTCAACCTGCCAAAGACGATGATGGTGAACTTCTACACCTCCATCATGGAGTCCATCCTCACCTCCTCCATCACCATCTGGTACGCTGCAGCCACAGACAAGGATAAGGGCAGGCTGCAGCGTGTCATCCGCTCTGCAGAGAAGGTGATCAGCTGCAATCTGCCATCCCTCCACGACCTACACGCCTCCAGGACCCTGAGGCGGGCAGGGAAGATAGTGGCCGACCCCTCCCACCCTGGACAAAAACTGTTCACCCCCCTCCCCTCTGGCAGGAGGCTGCGCTCCATCAGGACCAGAACCTCTTTCCATCAGGACCAAAACCTCTCTCCATCAGGACCAAAACCTCTCTCCATCAGGACCAGAACCTCTCTCCATCAGGACCAGAACCTCTCTCCATCAGGACCAAAACCTCTCGCCACCTGAACAGTTCCTTCCCCTCCGCTACCGGCCTCTTAAACAAGGCCCGGCCCCCCGACTGACACTTTACCTCAGCCACATCATAGACTCTATGCATTACATTAATGCACACATTATTTTGTATTACAGCTGATTTGTATTCCATATTTTATTCCTCTATTTCATTCCATTGCAATGTAAATACTGTTATATTCTACTATATATTTTTTATCATTTTTAATATTTTTCTAGTTCTCTTCCTGTGTTTTTAATTCTTGTTTTTATGCACCATGACACCAAGTCAAATTCCTCGTATGTGTAAACCTACCTGGTAATAAACCTGCTTCTGATTCTGATTCTGATTTGAAATCTCACTAGAACATGCAGTACCCTAAGCAGGAAACTCCTTTAAGGCAAACAAAATAGACTAGAGTATTAAATATTCAGAGTCTCTTGAAACACGGAGATACTATAACTATAATCCTTTCCTAGAGGTAAAAGTACACAGCAACCCATGCACCCTGAACACATACGTACATAACGCACTTACCAAAAACCAGTTTAACAAATGCTTGCCGGTCCAGTTCTGGAATGAAACATCTATATTTCCCATGATCGGAGAATTTCACATTGGAGAGTTTCATGGAAATGTTCCGTTCTTCAGCTCATCGGTGAACATTGATGTTCTTCCCTTGAATAATTTGTGTTTTTTATCCACCATTTCGCGACCAGAACGCATCACATGGACGAATCTGGGGTCCATGTCGGGCCTCGTCCACTCCAACGTCGAATCAGCAGCATTTACCGCCGGCTCCAGATTTGTCAAGCACTTAAGATATTCATTGCTATCGGGATGTTAAGAGCATTCCATGGAATACAACAAAAAGTGTATCTCGAGCCGGTTTCTCAAACTTACCTACCCCACCTTTAAGTGGATGTGCCTATACAACCCAGTCTCACATCTAAACGTGTAATAACTACGTTGGTCCACAACTTGGGACGTAGTATTTCTACAAAAACGCCTCTGAAATTGTAGGATCCCTACGTTTTTTTTCACCATTCATTTCCAATGGCTGGCGTCTATGTCACGTGATCTTCAACTTTCTCTCCGCAGAAATAAAATAACATGGCCGACCTTCGTTTTATTCTCAGCAGAAAATGCCTATTTTAAGGTTAGTTTGGCCATTAAAATGCGTTTTGATGTCATTTGATGCGAGAAATATGAGTTGTTATTTCAGATTATGTGTGCAGTGGATGTACATGATCTTTAGTTTGCTAGTTATTATGAAGAATACTACAGGAAATTGTGTAATACAACGTTTTCATTGTTACCAAGGTGGTTGCTAGGGACGCTGCTATCGATATTAGCAGCAATTTACCGCCGGCTCCAGATAACACGGCAAAATGTTGTCACCACCAAGGTTTGCTACTATTGGCTGAGATGAGCCAATCAGCTGAGACTGACCTGGAAATTCAAAGGAAGTATATTATATAATGTAACCCCTTGGCTAAGACTTTGGCTGATCGTAGGTTTTTTATATTTTAAGAGGGCTGTTATAGGCTGTTCTCCATATTCCCATTGGCAACAACTGCTTACAAAAGCAACTCAAAAAACAGCTCAAGAAAAAAAGGTTTCAAACAAATGTTGCTAATGGTTTAGCTCCTTCGCACAGCTTAGTCTTGCGTTGTAAGCTAACGTTAGCCTCACGGCTAAATTACGGCTAAAGGATTAGCAAGGTTTTTCTATATCTCTGAAAACCTTTTCGATATTGTACCGAGCCTCTATTCCCATAATGTCATGTCAAAATGCTTTATAGTACCAGTTTGCAAAGAAAAACAATCACAACATTGATGGACTGTTTTCTGTAATTGTTACAGATATTTAGCGTTTTCCAGTAACAACATATATTGGGGTACCACTTGCATGACAATGTGCTTAAAGGTCATTACTGAATTTATGCCTAATATAAACGTCTTCCCAATGCTGTAAGTGTGACTTTTGAAGATTGTATTTGTAACTTACCTCTACAGTGGTGTGTTAGGAGAAGAAGGAAAACCAAACCACTGAGAGTTCTCAGGTGATTTTTAAGGGGCTTTCCGTCAGTGTCTAAAATCATCATGGAGAACTGCAAATGAACAGAAAACAGTGACAGCAGAGTGAACTTCCAGGACAACATGCTTTAAAACAATTCTTTAGGTAAAACGTTTTAAAAAGGCTGGACAAAAAGTGGTCAATCCAAAGGTCTGAGTTATACACTGAATGTTACCTTTGGACATTACTTGTACTTGGGGCTCCAACAAATGGAGCACATCTTCTGTGCTCTACTCATAATTTACATATCCTATTTCATGATATTATATCCTCTGTTTAAGACATAGAATTATAATTTAGTTACACTCGTAGACTAAATACTCTCAGCACCCAAAACCCAGTAAAGTGTTATGACTATCACCAAGTCTGTACGCAGTTTTCACTCGGACACAAACATATTAAATACATTTAGTTATCTGTTCTAATCTAAAATTGTGGTTCAGCAAAACTCTAAATTCTGACTTTTCATGAAAAAGGTTTTGAATCTATTTTATCTTATGTATTAAACGTTAACAAATTGAAAAACACGTACCTGTTGAATGTTGCGTGTCACCGTCTCTGACTGCGAGGACAAAGTCTGTGAATCATTGACAGACTAATGCAGAGTATTATGCAAATAAAGTAACGGCTAATTCATTTTTCTTCACCAAACGTCTTGATGGTTAATGTTATGCTTAATATTTATTTTCAGTGTGCAAATGTTTCTGCAACAGCAAGAGGCATTTTCTACAAAATCTGTGTAATATATTCAAGTTTAGTGTAATTTTATCCACTGAATTGTTATCTGAGTCTCACTTTGAGTGTCTCAGTTTATGAACACCTGAACTTTGGATTCAGTGTCTTGGTTACGGGTTATAAATTAATACATGGCAATAAAATCAGTTGCGATGGACCATTTGAATTGTTTTATTGTGGCAACGGTTGA